ACTCACCTTTCCTGGCCCCATCCCCGCCTCTTCGACCTGTTTGTTTCCTCTCCACCTATCCTCTCCTCTATCCCTCTTCTATCCGCCTCCCACTCTCTCCCTATTTATTTCAAAACCCCCTTCCCCTCCCCCTTTTCTGATGAAGGGTCTAGGCCCGAAACGTCAGCCTCTCTGCTCCTATGATGCTGCTTGGCCTGCTGTGTTCATCCAGCCCTGCACCTTGTTGTCTCGGATTCTCCAGCATCTGCAGTTCCTACTATCTCAGAGTCAGCAGAGTGTCTAGGTCAGTACAAGTTGTAGTAATTAGCCAGAAAATTCATCAGGAACAAGCCACAGATCGATGGATAGTCTCCAAAGAACAGCATGGGCCAGGTGAATCTGGATGTCCTGGTGCAGGAATCACAGGTTAGTACGTAGGTATAGTGAGTAATTGGGAAAACTGGTGGTTATATTTGATTGTGAGGGGAATTGAATGTAAGTGTATGAAGGTTATTCTTCCATTACACAGGGCACTGGTGATACCACGTCTGGAATACTGTGTACAGTTTTGGTCACTGTACTTACGGAAGGATGTTAATGTTTTGGAAGCAGTTCAGAGAAGATTCACTCGACCAATATCTGCAATGAGCAGATTGCCTGGTGAGGAAAGGCTGGACAGAAAAGTCCTGTATTTTCTGGAGTTTAGAAGAGTCCCAGGTGACTTAATTGAAACATAAGATTCTGATGATGTGGAAAGGACGTTTCCTCTTGTGGCAGAATCTAGATCTAGAGGTCATGGTTCAAGATTAATGATTTGCCCATTTAAGACAGATGAAGTTTTTTTTTGAGGGCTGAGCATCTTTGGAATTCCCTTCCTCAAAAGACAATGGAAGCAGAATCTTTAAATTTTTTTGGGTAGAGGTAGATAATCCTTAGTAATCATGAATCTATCAGGGGCATACAGGAAGCTAGAGTTGAGGTTAAAATCTGAGCAGCGTGGTGGAGCAGGCTCAAAGGGTCAAGTGGCCTACTCTTATTTGTGCGTTTGTATGGATCTCTGTACTTGGTTACCTGTGACCTTGACAAGGAGGATTGCTGGGATGTCATCTGTACTTCCATCTCTTGCTGGAGTGCTTGTAGGTATTAGTAAGAAAATGACAGGTCATTTAATCATGTGCTGTACATTTCGTTATTCCGACCAGAGTTAATCCCGAGAGAGCAGCAGGAGTGAGACATAGTGCAAGTGCTTACTTTTAATGGGAGGTGACAGGAAAAGCATTGGCTAGTCTGAGAGAAGTGCAAAGGATTGTGCCGAGAATCAAAAGCCATCCTAGACTGCCACACAAAAAAGTTAGCCGGAAATGCAAAAACAAAGTAAAGGTTTCTATAACTACTTAAAATAAGGAGAGTTGGCAAAGTATTTTGGTCCTTCAGGAAGTGAGATCGGATAATTAATAATGAAAGATAAGGAAATGGCAGATGGATTAAATAAGTATTTATTTAATTCTTCATTCTTCTCTATAGAGGATAAGGTAACATCCCAGAAGCAGCGATCCATCAAGAAATGGAGGGGAGGAAGAACTCCGGGAAATGACGATGACCAGTGATTGTTACTGAGTAAATTGTTGGAGCCGTGGGCTGACAAGTGCCTGGGTCTTGCTGGACTCTGTTCTCAGGTTTAGAAATAGGTAGAAAGATGGTTGATGCATTAGTTCTAATTTTCCAATACTTCACTGCTCTGGGAAGGTCCCATGAGATTGAAACAGCTAATGTTATTCTCTTATTCAAAAAGAGAGGGAAAATGTTCAATGTTATCAGTTAGGAAGTTATAGCAAAGCCCTTAGATAAATTCAAGGTAGTCAGGCACAATCAGCAGGGCTTTTTGCAAGGGAGATCATACTTAACCAATCTTAAGACCGTAAGACATAGAGGCAGAAATAGGCCATTCACTGCATTGAGTTTATTGCATCATTCAATGAGATCATGGATGAACTGATAATCTTCCACTCCTGTCTTTTCCCCATAAGCCTTGATTCTCTTAATGTTTGAAAATCTGTCTATCTCGGCAATCTATTAGTTATTTGAAGAAGTAATGTGCTGTGGATAAAAGAAGTATCACTGGATGTACTGAACTTTAATTTCCAGGACACATTTGATAAAGTGCTATATCAAAGGTTATTGTGGGAAGTAAAAGCTCATGGTATAAGGAATTAACATTAGCACGGGTAGAAGATTGGCTGGCTAGCAAAGAGAAGATGTAAATAAGTCTTTTTCAGATTGGCGAGATGTAATGAGTGGTGTGCCACAGCGATCGGTGCTGTGCCTTCAACCATTTATAATGTCTATCACTGATTAGATGAAGGGACAAAAGATATGATTACCAAATGCGATGGCACAAAAATAAGGAGGAAAATAATTTGTGAAGACATTTACAAAAATATCTTGATAGCTAAGTGAGTAAGCAAAGATGTAGCAAATGAAATATACTGTAAGAAAATGTGAAATTTTCCATTTTGACAGGAAAAATAAAAAAGCATATTATTGGTGGTGCAATGGTGGTGTCCCTTCCTTTGAATCTGGAGGCCTGGGTTCAAGTCCCACTTGCTTCAGAAGTATGCCATAACATCTTGGAACAGGTTGATTAGAAAATATCAATTATCTAAATGGTGAGATATCACAGAACTCTTAAGCTGCTGAGGGACCTGGCTGTCCTTGTGGATGAATCACAAAAAGTTAGTATGCAGGTGCAGAAAGTAATTCAGAAAACCATTAGAATGATTATGATATATCACAAGGGGAATTGAATACAAACATAGGGAGATGAGGCAACTTTTTTTTTGATCAGGGGTAGAATTCTTTAGAACTCTTCTGGAAAAGGTGATGGAAGAAGAGGGCTTGGAATATTTTTAAGGCAGAAGTGGATAGATTCTTGTTAAGCAAGGAGTGAATGGCTAAGTGGGCATGTGGATTTGAGGTTATAATCAGATCAGGCATGATTTATTGTAATGGTGGAGCAGGCTCAATGGGCTGAATGGCCTACTTGTGGTCCGAATTTGTATGATGGATCTACAGAATTGTTTCCTGTACTGGTCTCAGGATTCTGATCAGAACAGAGCCAGCACTGGTGTCAGGACTCTGCGCTAGGTTCTTGTCGATCTCTTGGAGGTTGACTGATGGTATTCCCTCTCTGTACTGTCTCTGTTATCTTTTCCTTCTTAGGCTTTGTGCTCGGTGGGGCATTTGGAATCTTCACGGCTGGTATTGATACCAATGTTGGCTTTGATCCGAAGGATCCATTGCGGACGCCAACTGCCAGGGAAGTTTTGAAAGACATGGGGCAGCGTGGAATGTCATACGCAAAGAATTTTGCTATCGTTGGAGCCATGTTTTCTTGTACAGAATGCATCATTGAATCGGTGGGTTTGCCTTCCATCCACTCTCTTTGTTAGCAGTGGCATTGCAAAAACCACTTTGATTTGGACCACTGCCTCTCAAACATCCCAAACTTCAGAGATTAATAAAGCATTAGCTATTGACGATGTAGATGATATTAAAAAGATAGAATTGGAGGACAGCTTTTAATAAAATACATGGAAACACCATCACCTGCAAGTTCCCCTCCAAGCCACTCATCATCCTGACTTTGAAAAAGATTGCTGTTCCTTCACTGTCACTTGGTCAAACTCCTGGAATTCCCTCCCTATCAGCATTGTAGGTCAACCCACAGCACATGGACTGCAGCAGTTCAAGGAGGCAGCTCACCACCACCTTCTCAAGGACAACTAGGGACAGGCAATAAATGCTGGGCCCAGCCAGTGCCACCTGCATCCCATGAGTGAATTTAAAAAAAAAAAAAAAAAATCCTCATTGTTTCATGGAATAAGAGTGGAGTGTTTAAAATGATGAGCGTGGATCTTGCTAAATACAGCAGGTGATTTCTGATCATTCAAAGTATAGATCAAGGTGGTAAAGATACAAAATTAATTATAAGAAATTTAGAAAAGAAGGCAGAGAAAACATCTTTAGCCAGTGACTTGTGAGGCTGTGCAATTCACTTCTGGAGTTAGTGCTAGAGACAGAAATCTGTCCACATTCACCGTTAGGTTGGAGACGTAGATGAAGGAATATGAGAACAAGACATTTGGGGAAGTTTGTGTGTATTGAGGTCAGCATGGTTTCGGAGTAGTCAGGTTGTGCTTCATTTAATCAAATGTTTAATGAAGTAACAGAAGATCGATGAAGGGGATGTGGTGGATGGTGTCTGTACAGATTTTAAGAAACCATTTGACAAGGTACCGCATTAAAAAATGGTTAACATGATTGATGTTTGTGATGTAGGAGGTCAGTCCTGTCCTGGATTAAAGGTTAGTTTAAGGACAAAGCAATAAGTCATAAATATTTTTCAGGCTGGAGAATAGTAGACAGTTTTTTCAAAAATGTATTTGTAAATGGAATGTCAACATCCCGGGCTGAGCCAGCATTCCTTGCGCATCCCTAACAGCCCTGGAGAAGGTGCTAGTGTGGAGCGGACGAGGGAATCACGGAGTGAGTGGTACCTACGAAAGGCAGATAGAGGTGTGGAGGAAAATATATCTTTGGTCGTGGGATCGAGTGTAGGTGGCGGAGAATGATACGCTGGATGCAGAGGTTGGTGGGGTGATATGTGAGGACAAGGGGGATTCTGTCTTTATTTTTGTTGGGGGGGAGGGGGTTTGAAGGTAGAAGTGCGGGAAATGCAAGCAATGCAGTTGAGGGCATTTTTGATCACCGGAGTGGGGATGTTACGATCCTTGAAATAGGAGGACATCTGGGATGTCTGAGAGTGGAACGCTCCATCTTGAGAGCAGATGCAGCAGAAGTGGAGGAATTGGGAGTAAGGGATCACATTCTTGCAGGAGGGTGGGTGAGAGGAGGTGTGATCAAGGTAGCTGTGGGAGTTAGTGGGCTTGAAATAGATGGCCTAAACATGGAGCAACACCTCATATTCCACCTTGGAGTTTCAGGAGCAACACCTCATTCCGCCTTGGGAGCCTACAGGCCTAAATGTGGAATTCACCAGTTTTAAAATCTGTCCAACCCTCCCTGTCATCTCCGCCTCCTTGACCTGACACAACCTGTCCATCTTCTGTCCCACCTATCCATCCCACCTATCCACCCCACTGACCAATCCCCACCACTGCCTACCTGCACTCATCTATCACCATCCCACCTACCTTCCCCAGCCCTACCTCTCTCTCTTTATTTCTGAGCTCCCTTCCTCCTCCCCATTTCTGAAGAAGGATCCCGACCCGAAGCATCAACTTTGCTGCTCCTCAAATGCTGCCTGGCCTGCTGTGTTCCTCCAGCTCCACACTGTGTTATCTCTGACTCCAGCATCTGCAGTTCTTGCTATCTCTGAATAATTTTAAAATTTGCCATGATTCCGATCTTGGAGGAGTATCCATTGGTGCATATTATACCAATTAACTGCAATCTTGCAGAATAGGCAGACAAGAGGCAGATAAAATTTAATGTGGAGGTGTGGGAGGTGAACTGTTTTAGCAGAAGGAACAAGGAAAGTCAGTGTAGATTTTAATGCATCATTCCAAAGTTTGTTGGGGACAAAAGGATCTAAGTATATGTGCATCAATCGTCGAAGGTGGTAGGAAGATTGAGAGAGTGGTTAGCAATGCATAAAGAGTCTTGGGCAAAGCTATTGTTAGGCTCCAAGTAAAGTATCTGAAGGTTCTTGAGCAGGCTGAAGAGATCTACCAGAATAGTTCCAGGGACAGGATTTTTGGAAGGTTTGGTTAGAGAAGCCTGGGTTAGTCACCTTGAGACAAAGGGGATTGAGGGAAGATTTGATTGATCTGTACATGATTATGACAGATCGAGATATGGTAGGTAAAGAAAAGCTGCTTCTATGAGATGATCATACAAGGTATGGGGGCACATATTCAAGGTTTTGGGCCAGAGATGCAGAGTTTGTGATGAGAAACGTTAAGTAATAATCTCTAATGACTGAGAGAACTCACTGCCTATGAGGGTGGTGGAAACAGAGTTCAATAATTTCAAAAGCAAATTGGATGGACACAAGTAACAATTGCAGGAGTCCAGGAATCTAGCAGGAAAGTTGAACTGATTTGTTTTTCTCTCTATGGAGAGCTACCATAGACTTGATGGACTGAATAGCCTCATCTGCTGTAATGACTATGACTGGATTCATTTGTGAAAGCTAAAGACCAGTTTTGCCAAGTTGGAGTAAATATATTGTAACTCATTTGTGTTTCTGGAGTTGGACAGAGAAGTTAACAGTGAAGGCTGGGATTTAAAATCTTTTCTCTTTGATATTTTGAAAGTACCGTGGAAAGTCAGATTGGAAGAACAGTGTGTTGAGTGGCTGTGTAACAGGAGGAGCAATCGGTTTCCGAGGTGAGTGGCAGAATCTTCCTCGAGCCTAGGTTTGAAATGGCAGCTTTTGTGTTGATGTTTCTAACCTGCTCCCCTTTCCACTTTGCAGCTGGCCTAAAGGCAGGAGCCATTGGATGTGGTGGGTTTGCTGCATTTTCTGCAGTCATTGACTACTACTTACGATGAACTGAACTCCAAGCTACCTTGCTGCAAGCGGTATGGGAGTATTGGCTGTCAAAGCCCCAGCACAGTGAGTGAGCTGGAACTGACTCGTGTATAGTAAGCACATGTGAATGAGCACATAGAACATTGCTGACTGCAGCCAGTGCCTCTCAATATGTATCTCAGCCATGGGACAAACCCAGGTCTATTATTGAAACAAGGTGACAGGTCTGAACGGAGATTCCAATCCAGGACAAAGTTCATGTTTTGATCTGTTGTTGCTGCTCTGTCCTATAATGTAAAACATTTATTGACATAATGGAGTGGAATAAAATCTATTGTTTTATAAATATACAGAGTCACTGTTTATTCAGCAGGATAACGATCACCCAGTGTAACTGTATAGAATTACAGAATGGTTACAGCACAAAGGAGATCATTTTGCCTGTTGTGTGTGCAGGTCCTCTGAAGGAGCAATTTATCACTGCCCCTACCCTGCCTTCTGCCTGTAGTTCTGCAAGTTCTTTTCAGATAATCCAATTCCTTGTTGAATACCTTAATTGAACTTGACTCCAATTCCCATTCAGCATATTCTGAATCCTAACCACATGCATGAAAATCTATCTTCTCATGTTCCCATTTCTGCTTATGCAGACGATCTTCAACCTCTCCCCTCCAGTTCTTGTTCTTCCATCAGTAGGAACAGTTTCTCTCTATCTACTCTGTCCAGACTCCACATGATTTTGAACACTTCGATCAAATTGCACAACAGTCTTTTCTCCAAGCAAAGCAGTCCTACCTTTGCCAATCTGTTTAATTACGTGAAATTTCTGTTCCCTGGAACCATTCTCGTGAAACTTTTCTTCACTTTTTCTAAAGCCTTCTCTCCTCTAAGATGTGGTGCTCGACTGGTACAGTACGGCAGCTGAGGCTGAATCAGTGTTTTATGTTAAGTTTAATGCACTTTCCTTCCTTTAATATTCTATAGCCCTACTAGTAAAGCCCAAGAAAATGCATAAGGCAGTTAGGATGTTCTGTGAATGCCGGCTTAGCCAGTAGGATGCCCACATCCTGTGAAATATTTTAAATGCACCTGCCACTTATCCACCAATTCCCCAAATTTATCGTATATCCTCTTGAAGTTCTGCACTAACCTCCCCTCAGTTCATGATGCTTCCAATTTTTGTACCATCCACAAATTTTAAAGTTGTGCTTCGTACACAAAGGTCTAGTTTATTAATAGATATCAGGGTGAAAAGTTGCCCTAACAGTGATCCCTGTGGACCCCTATAAACGTTCCTCCAGTCTGAAAGTCAACCATTAACCATTGTTTTCTGACTCCTGTCATTTATCCAATTTTATACCAACATTGTTGCTGTCCCTTTTTCTTTTATAAGCTGTAACAATTCTGTTGTGTGGCATTACATGTAATGTCTTTTGGAAGTCCATGTACATCATACCAATGGCATTTCCCCCATCGACCCTTTTCTCTTAACTAACTTGAGTTTTTTGAAGTAGTAAGCTCAATTAACATGCATCTTGCCCAAGTAATTATTCTTTTCTTTTTAAGAAGTTTCCCCATCACAGAAATTAAACTGACCTACAGATATAGATCTTGTCTTTTCACATGAGTGAGAATGATTCTGTTGGAATGTCGGCTGGTTGAGGATTGTGTTAGGACTATCAAGATGGTTGATGATTGTATTGGGGAATTTTGAGCTGGTTGAGGATTGTGTTCGGAATATTGGGCTGGACAAGGATTGTGCTGGGACTGTCTGGCTAGATGAGGATTTTCAAGGTGATCAAGCAAGATTGGTCTATGGTGTTGGACATCACAAGTTGTGTCACCATTAATTCTGTCCGAAGGTTTCTCTGTTTTATTCCAGTCTATCTGAGTAGAGTGGAAGTCAGTTAGCTCAGTTGGGTGGGTGGCCAGAGTGATGGTTTCGATTTAATGTTGCCACGTGTACCTGAGTACAGTGAAAAAGTTTGTTTTGCGTGCAGTACAAGCAGACCATAACATACAAGGGCACACAGATCAAACGGTGTTTAGACAGAGCGAGGCATACAAGGTTACGGCTGCACAGGAAGTGCACAAAACCAAGATCAACATTAGATTCAGCAGTCTAATAACAGCAGAGAGGTTGAACCTGTTGGTACATGTGTTTAAGCTTTTGTATATTCTGCCTGACGAAGAGGTTATAACCAGGGTCTTTGGCTGACTTTCCACAGCAACAAGAAATGTAAATGGAGTTCATGGATGGGAAGTTGGCTTCTGTGATGGTTTGGGCTGTGCACACAACTTTCTGTAGTTTCTTACAATCCTGGCTAGAGCAGTTGCCATACCAAGCTGTGATGCATCCAGATAGAATGCTTTCTATAGTGCATCTGTAAAAGTTGGTGAGGGTGCTTATAGACATGCCAAATTTCCTAAGCCGCCTGAGGAAGAAGAGGTGTAGGTTCAATACCCGCGCTGGCTGAGATTAGCATGAAGGTTCTGCCTTCTCAACCTCGCCTCTCCTGAGGCATGTTGACCCTCAGGTTAAACTACCATCAGTTGTCTCTCTCTGTAACAAGAGAACTGCCCTCCAGACCACTAGTACTATTAAAACTTTACCTTTTTATAAGTAAAGTCAATACACCTAAGCTCTGATACTACTCCATTAAAAAATTTCTAATTGTACAATTGAATGCCTGATACCAAATAAATCAAATCAGTGTTTTAGTTTTTCGTGATTCGGAGCCGATTATGCACCTCAGATGTTTGGTTTCAAAGTACATTTTCTTAAGGAGTTTAGAATATTTTGTTGGGTGACATAGAAGTTTCTGAGATTGTCTGATCTCTATCAGAGAAAGAGAGTGCTTTACTGTTGGTCAGTATCTTCAGAGCGCAGTGACTGATTTGGTAGCAGGCCAGTCAGCCAACAGCCCACATTCTCAGATAACAAGGT